AAAGTAGGAAGCAGAATGCAGATTGGGTTTGTATAAACACGTTTAATTTAAACACTATTAAAAAAATCTTATATTACGTATCTAATCGTGTTTTTTAACTCTTCACGTCATGTTGGGTGTAGTTTACGCTCAATGAACCCGGAAGGTCTCCGACTCCAAAGCAGCTAAACGTAAATGACCTTTTATGAATGTGGGCCCACAGGCTCATTTTCCAAGGTTGAACGGGAAAAAAGACCTCAAAATGCGAACGGGTGCGTGATATGTTCTATGCATACTCATGCTCAAACTACAGGAAGGGATGGATATAATGACGCTTGTAGGTTTGCTTTCTCTCCGTATTTATAGACAGGCGCATTTTAACGCTAATAGCGCCGTTTAGGGACAAGGCTGCAGAAAAATGAGTTAGCAATGATGATTTTAAGCGACGTATTTCTTATTCAAGACGTAAAGATAATGATTTTTACAAAAAAATTGCAGAAAAATTAAAATATTCAAAAATATGTACTTCATGAGTAAATTATTGTAATATATGTAACCAACAATGTCAATGTTTTTTAGTCAATAACCGATATGAAAAATAAATATATTCGTTGATTTGACGAGTGAGTTTAGGATAATATGCTAATTAATAACCATCCGGGCCTCATACTAATGACAAAAGAGAATTGAGATAGAAAAAGCATTAAATATTGAGAAACTTATCCATGTGGAAGTCAATGAATCGTTGCAGTTCAAAATAAGAGTCAGTGAAGCAAAAAGGAGAGAGAAGGGAGAAAGTAGCATATTCAACGGGATGGGCTTGAGGTACAGCTGTCAGCGTGTTTACACCATTCATTTGGAATTTAGTGTTACAAGCTCATGAAAATTATCAGTTTTTCTCTAATAAATATTCGGATAATTAAATTTTGACTGGTTCAGTAATTTTTTTGTATATTTTATATGTTTTTAATAGTTGTATGGAATAATTTATTTCGCATTGTCCTTTTATTTACGCTGAAACACCGACTATAATACATTATTTGCATCAAAATCTACCGCCACTCTTGGCGCTTCGCTGCTTCAAACATAAAGATATTCTTCATTTATTGATTTTATTTACATTAATCAAATAGTAATTAATTTGATGACATTGTTAAATAATAAATTACTTTCTTTTGATGGCGGTATAGTCAAATTGTAATAGAAACAGTTGTGCAGGAAGAGAAGATTTTACTTGGACTTAAACTTTTTGTATCGAATTTAAATAATTTAATGTCTATGGCAAGGTGTTTTGTAAATAAGTAACACATATTAATTGTTGAATTTTTGTAGTGATGTTGATACTGATACCTGATGAAATGATTACTCGTCGAGTTGTTGTATTATAGACAACGGCGTTTTGCTGGAAATATATTCCACCCTTAAGTACTCATTTAATAAGTTTCGTTACATTTGGAAAGTTTTGGTAATTTCGCGTAAACTATGGGGGGAGGAAAGGCGTGCTGTTTTTGGGCCACTAGTTATTCTTTTGAAAGATTTTCCTAAAATCGAGCTCATACATTCTTCAGATGACAGTACTTTCATTTAACTAATATTGAAAGTTCAAAAAACTTTTTTAACTCGGAATACTAATGGCGATATTCGTGAGACAATCCGGCTTCTTCAACGTCCATTAATTATTGGTAGAAAATACGATATTTAAACAAAAACATACAGGACAACGTGATCGTGTCTTTTTTATTAAAAAGATGCCAAGCTTTGACAAGCTACAAAAGACCTCTTAGGTTAGCATGTAATAACCATTTTTCGATATATGGAGGAGAACGAACTCCCCTATGAGCTCCGAGGCGGTAGTCTGAGCCTTGAGCTGAAGCAATGAAGCCCTGGCGAGCAAAGGGTGGGGCGCGCGCTGTGTGTTGGCAGACGCCGAAGACGAAGCCGTCCGCAGAGGACGATGCACAGGCCGCTTCACCGTTTTCCATAGTTCGGAGGCTGCTCGGCGACCTAAACCTACACATTTTCGTAATGATTATTTCACGTCAACTTGCTAGAACTGTAGAGCCATGGGGGAGGGGGGGGGGATGGCTGGATTGACGCGTAGGCAGCGTTAGGTGCTTAGTGGTATACGAGCTGAGGAGCTAGATAGGGTCTCTAATATCATTTATGTAAGTTTATTTCAAGACTAAAAGCTATAATAAATCAAATATACAGAAAATTTACATTTTTTTTACAAAAATTAGAATGTTTTCCAACTTCAAATTAACGTAGGTTGTAAAAGATAAATATAGAAAGGGAAATATATTAGTTACCTCCAAATGACACAAATGAATGAGTTTTCTTATAGTGGTTCTCTCTAATTAAAGTTTTTATATTTCAAAAATAACTATAGTTACAGTTCAGCTCGTCTTTAAATGTTCTCAGACTACGAAAAAACATTTTGTCTACGCCCCACGAAAGCGTTAATCCGCCTGGTAGAGCTACAAATAAATGGTACCGCTCTATTGTATTAACATTGTAAATGTTGTTTAAATCAAGCTGAAAATTAAAAATAATGTGGCAAAAGAAATCTGTATACAGTTTACTATCACACGGTATTATGTGGCGCGACTTTTTGTATGATGCCTTGCTTCCCTCCTGTGCATCAATAAACAGTTGAAAGGCAAAAGCTCGCAGATGACAACATTCCACACACTACAAGCACTACAAGCTATTTTTCTGTTGAAGGACCGGCGAACTTCTCCTCCGTGATTTTCCCCAAAACATCTAAAGAAAGACCGATAGCAGGTGAAGATCCATATAGAAGATATCTCGAACTCCTGAGTAAAAGCAAATTAATTGAGAGGTGTTCGAAGGAATGGCTGATTCTTCAGAGATTGCTTGCCTTAAATCTAGGTGGCCGTAACTAATACTTATACACTCAACAGCATTTCTTCAAAATCCATCGTTCAAGAAAAGTTGCGCGAGAAATACATTTTTTTTCGTTAGAAAAAAAAAGATCATAATAATAGTAGTTGTAACTGTTTTTTATAATTGAAATTTATCAGATATTTGAAGGTCTAGTAATAACATTTATGTTCTTGTTAATAATGATTATACAATATGAAATAATGATCGTTAAAACCGTTCATAAGAAATGAATTAAAATTTCTAGAAACAGTAATCAAGATAGGCTCACATCACAGTGTAGATATTCCGGAACAGGCGTCTTCTTCACCGTGGACGCTGCGCCTGTTGCACTTTAAAACTGGTCTTTTTGAAATGCGTTTTGGGTCAAAGGATGTAGCGTTGCCTGATTCCGGTCAAGGCTCCGGTTCTTCCGATCATTAAAAACGCGATGCAGATGTATTACAAAGTAAGAGCGACAGGGTGAAATATATTATTCGAATGATTCTTGGATTTGATTTTAAGCTGTGGCGGCTGTGACTTCTGAAATCAAGAGCACTGTGAGACATATTTTAAACGATAGTTGAGTAAAGTGTAATTATAATAATCAAAATTATTATTGTTATCGGTTGAAAATCAAACTTGAAAGCGGCATTTTTTGATCAATTAATATTTACTTTTGGTTATTTGTTGTGTAGAGTGTATTGCGGATCAGTTAAATTTTGAAGACACAAATGCTATGGTGTTATGTGAAGCTGAGTACTTATAGATCTTCGTGATAATAAGTTGCAACCTTTGAAGCGCAGTTCTCCAACGGGCGGGGAGCGTACGGACGCCTCGAAGGGTAACGGTGGCGAAGGCGCGTATGGCCGTGCTTCGGTTTGCCCGCAACAGGCCTGGCGCCAGCCCGCGACACGAGCCCACTCGCCGGACTTTGCTTGGGTCGGAGGGCGCGACAATAGGCAGAGTGCAGCAGCCATAGCACGCCGGACTGCACATTCCGGCATAGGACAACGGTGGTTGAGCGCAGCTGAAATATAGAAAACAAAAACTATGACGTGAGGGAGAAGTATTGTGCTGTGCGAAACTACCTTTCCGGCAATAATGACACGGATGGTTGAGCCGTACGATTTGGTACGATAGTGTAGAACGCGTAAAAATATTGATGTCGCTTCGGTCGCTATGGGCCAAGTTTTGTTAGGGAGACTGCCTTGAGTCTCGTAAGAATGGGATTGCTTGACTTAGTCGGATATTTTCAGTAACATTCTGGTTTAAACTACCAATAGAGAACTTTCAAGAGATTATATCTGCGATACCGGTGAGAAGTTATTTAAGAAATTAACCGGTGGTTCTAGAAAACGTAATAAGATATCTTACATACTAAGAGATGTGCATTGGATTCGTGAAAAACAGGGAGCCTAATTTTATTGGAGATTCAACGGATCCGATGGGTGATGCAGTGTTGAAGGGATATCGTTCATCAGATACGTAACATCATTAAATTTACTAGACAACTGGCCAGCGCATGTTTCTTCCATCTAAAAATATTTTGGTTCTTGCAAACTCGTTTCATTCTGCAATACACTATAGTTTTAGTGGGTAGTTTTATGTATCTAACATTAAAAGTGTAATAAATTGGGCAAACTGTGTATTTCGAATGCAATATTAGAAAATCCAATGAAGCTATTGAAATCATGTTCTGATTTATTAGTATTTTTGGTGCAGGCACACCGAACGCCTGATACATGGTGTATTCTATACTCTAGCCATGATATATTAAATAAAGTTAAATCAAATAATTAAAAAGATATCTGTTACAACAACATGTTCCATATGGAGTGTTGTCATGCCGGCCCACCTGTTTTGACTCAGGAATCCACGAGGCAGCCTAGTTCTGAAAGTATGTAACTAGTGTGCTGGAATCATAGCGCATCCACCATGGGTAAGTATTCTCTCAGTTGGATATCGGTCCATTGGGTAATTTTCCTCAGCCTTTGTTTTCGCCTAATAGTAGCATTGAAATAATGTTTTTAGACTTTCACCGAGGAGTAAAATAATTACTGTACGCAATTTTCATGGAATGCGGGAGCAGTTCTTTTGAAAATGCGTTTCAGGTTTCGGCAATGCAGCAATTTTGGCTCATAATTACAGAAAAGTTTGAGTTTTTCAAGGAATTTCATCAAATATTCTTGACACCTTACCTCACAAATGCAATAATGTATAGAAAATACCTGTCTTGTGAATAATAACGGACTTTAGTATTTATAAAAATTACATTTGTGAAATTCGTTTCTCACCAAAGTTCATCAACTTTCTTTAGCCGTCAATAGCGACCCGCCGTCCAAGGACTAAGACTTAACGACATCCACATTACTATTTTTTCCACTTGCACGTATTGCCATTTATCCATCGAAGCTTTCGCTGGTCCAATCAGAAATTCTTTAACGCTCATGAAAGGGGCTTGAATTTTTTTAATTTTTTTCTTAGAGTAGAAGACAGTGCGCTTCGGAAATATGGAATAAGTTTTATTTTCATTGAAGTGTGTGAAACAGTTTTTTACGAAAATTTTATATTCCGATCTCCCGCACTTTGTTAGTGAAAGTAAGCGGAGACGGCTGAGAATTACAATACAATGAGTACAGTGTTAAAAAATTTATGTGGCTGTTTACATATAATACAGGAAGTATCTAAGCAGTTCAGCATCAATATTTTCAAGCTTTTAAACACAAAATGACTAATTGCAATTCAAATTGTGATTTAACCATATTAAGCAATGTGTAATACAATATTTTTTTAAAACTTAATAAATTGTTTCTTCGACTTACGTATTTTACAAGAATACTGCTTCGCCGGTAGTATAAGAATAGGTTTGTAAACTGTACTGAGGTGAATCTAGTCCGGACGGCACCTTTTTGCTGCTGGAACAAGCACACCGGGAATCCTAAGCCGACGTGTTCCTTGGCGGCAGCAACTGTGATCTCATTGGAGGAAGCTAGAATGATTCCTGTCACTGCTCGACTGGTTTTTCCACCTCTCGACCGTGCAAAGCGTGCAGAGAATTGCTCTTGTGAAGCATGCGGAGGGGATGAGGTTGCGGACTCGCGGAGTGAATGTCTTTGATAAACAAAATCGGAAGTTGAATGCAACGTAATATCGACGCATGTTAATGCCGAATAAGAATGCCAATGTACATAGTAAACATTCTTATAATGTCTATAATTCAGTTCATGTCCTCACATTTTATGGGCTGTCAAATCATAAATCTTCCTCCTGATGATCCAAAAAGCAAGATAAATGAACTATATTTTTGTAATGCGTAAGGAATTATAATTTATTTAAATTATTTACTTGTTCATGTTTATATTGTCTCGTGCCTACTGTACAACACCTTTCAATCACACACCAATCTACGTATTTCGTATCTCTAAGCTCTGAAGTTTTTGTGATCAAATCGTGTATATATGGGCGTTGACATTTCACAAAAAAAATTAGCGGTGTTTTCATAAGGAGAAAGTAATCGATTTTTAGGTTCAGATGTTTCCCGGCATGGTATGAGGATAAGAAAAATATGTAGTCGATAAACTAATTTTCCTCCGCCAGCCCCGCGTTGGTTTGGTGCTCGCGGTGGATGGGTGGGGACCGTACTCATTACTGCAGATTGATCCATCTTATCGCGATGTGATCTATCTGAGCCTAAGCTACATGTAGCAAATGCAAAGAACTGTCCCGCATATAAAAAGAATTGTTTTGTTTTTCTTGAACAGTTTTGTGTTAAGAATACGATTATTATTTTGAACGTGGTATTTTTTTTGTTTCATTAGTAAGAGGTTATTGGTTTAAGGGGATTGTGAAAATAAATGAAGATCTCATGTTTCGATTCGATTGCATCTTTATTGGTGTTAATACCATGCACAACTGTTGCAGGTCTAAAACAGAATATCAAGTATTCACTCTCTTGAGTAATGACTGTAAACGTTGAACAAAGTTTATTCTACAATCCGCCTGAGGAAGAACCTAGCATTCCCAGACAACAATGTTAGTAGCGTTTGCAGAAGCGTGCTGCGCGTCTGCTTCCATGGGCGAAAACTGAGGTAAACTTGAGGTCGGAACAAGCACAGTCCACGTGTGACTTTACGTAAAGGTAGTTTGCTGTTGCTTACATAATGTTGTATTATTCACATTTCGCGATCTTGGCTCCTAATTTTTCCCTTAGCCAAGTAAATTGAGCCCAAAAAGGCATTACTCTAGAAAAATCCAGCAGTTTCTCTCTCTCTACTATATGTTTGCCGGGTGCCGAATGTCGAAATTTGTTCTTTTTTTGCCCCCCCGCCCAAAAAGTCTGCTTATCAGAGAAAATTGCTAAATAAACTAAAATGTGTATATTGCAGATTTTCACTTATATCGCCCAGATAACATTTCATCAAAATACGTTACTTGACTTTAATTTTGTGATAAACGGCTTCGGCGGTAGAGCGTGTGCTGACAAATCGGTGAACTTTGTATGGCATTGACCAAGCCGGAAGAATAATTCTCGCAGCATCCAATCACGTTTTTATGCACTTCTTTTTTATTTTATCATGCAAAAAATGACGACTGTGAAACAATTAATTGTCTTTGTTTAAATGATGAACATCCGATACTCACGGAATTAGAAGGAAAGTATTCGCTTTCGCGGTCTATCTATATAAATCCTTGAAACATACAACATAAGAGTGTACTCATAACGTATATCAAACATCGGCTCGCACACTTTTCAAAGACGAATTGCAATTAACTATTTTTTGATGTGAAAAAAACACATTGTTTCATATTTATAGATTTATATATTTCGAAATATCCGGTTACAGCAGCAATTTCCGCTCAATACAGCCAACTTGTAAGTTGGGAAATATTACGATTCGGGGCTAAAATTCGGTTTCGTATTGGTGGATGAAGAAAAGTTCAAATCCAGGAGCAGCTTTTTTTCATTGTGATTGCTGGATTGTGGCTGGTACGTTTCTTCGATGGAACGTCCTTTATTGTGCGCCAATTTGGTCCTGTCATTACTCTTACGTTTTAAAACGATCCAATAAGGAAGTAAAACAGGCCTCAGTTTAATGGTTTCCTTTTTTATAAAATACCTTTAAGAAGTTTACCCTGAAAATTGCAAAAAACTACTGGACATAAACTTTTCTGTGATAAAACTGTCTTTCCTTCTTCAGGGCACAATCACCAACAATTTGTTTCGTTGTTTTGAACCTTTTCAGGTTTCAGGTTTCAGATTTTTTGTCCACGAGCGGCATCATCTCGCGCACAGTTTTTTTCATGATTAGTTTACCACCGGTCGCAGGGCATTAGCTGATGTCAACTGCAATTCTCTGACTGGGATATATAGAATTTTCTATACTGGCTGGAAAGCTAAGGTGAATGAGTTGCTATCTGAAGGAGAACTTCAGCAGCCCAGCTTGCTCTGGTCAACCATCACATGCCGGGAGACAGGTTCGTGAAGTTAAGAACTTAAACTGGCTGGTGCTGGTATTTCGCTGGTAAAGGAGATCGGGCTGGTCCACAATCCACCGGAAATGTTACGCAGTCGACTAAAACATTCACTACACTTACAGTACCATTAGGCAGCTAGGCGACTGTAATCAGATAAGTCAATCGATCATGATCCAGTTATCTCATGCAAGATAGTTGGACTCCTTGGTTGAGATGCCAATCAGTACCAGCTATCTCGCGCACGTTCACTCTGGGATTTCCACTACCAGCTCGAGAATTTCTCGGTTTTTGGTGACATCAATGCCGGCTTGGAACGCGCTTAAATCTTCCGTACTTTTGGTGGCCATGTTTTGAATTTTTAATGCCTGAAGAAAAATTACTTCATGCTGTGGTGAGGAGTAGTTCATCTATGTTGTTTACCACTATACTTATCTATTTTGGTTTTAATCTGCTGCAGTCCATCTTCAAAGGTTGTAATTCACGCTGAATACAATTTTTCCGTTCCTACCACACGTTCAAAGTTTAGCCAGCTTGAATGTTCCCACATTCAGC